TCCACTTTTAAATGCATATAAATGCCAGATAACAAGTTTACACTAACATATATTAAGTCAGCAATAGAACTAGGCATTAAAATCAATAAAAAGTAAAATACACACAGAGTACACCCATTACTTACCTCAAAATATTTGTAGTCTTAATGTAGGGAGAGAGGTGAGTAGCATTTATTGCAGGAAGTCAGGTGTAGTACGTATGGTAGCCCTCCTGGCCAACACACCCACACGTAATAGACGACATTTAAAGCGCCCTAGAGCAATAAAATGCATATACAGTACACTCATTACTTACTTTAAAATATTTGTAGTCTTAATGTAGGGCGAGAGGCGAGTAAACGATATAAAAACGAATAAACAAGAGAGAGAGAATGAGTAAATGAGAGGACAGAGATGCCGAAAATGTAAACAGACGTACGTGTCTGCCTTTGGTTCATACACATTCATTCCCATCTCTGTGAATCTTATCCCTGGTACGTATAGTGCTTCCTTTTGATTATAATAATAATGTGAATCTTATACCATAATGTAAACACCTTACATTGTTTACAAGTTATCCCCACATTGGTAAAGTAGAATAAATAAAGAGCAACATTCCCATTCTCATGTAAGACACCATTTCTAGAAGGAATGACACAATGAGTGCAGGTATACGAAAGGAATAATGTTTTACAGTTACCCCCAGTAATACCATTCTGTACACATTTTCTTTGGAGTTGAACTAGAGAAAGCGTTATTCTTTCCGACACTCCAAAAAGATGACTGGAAAAACATCTCATATTAATGTTAATTTCTTCTACTGTGGGTGTATTTATCATGTTTATATGTTACGTAGCATGTTTGTTATATAATTTTGAAAAAAAATATCAAAGATGGATTAATCAAAATGTCTATATTAATGTATAATATGACGTTTAATGCGCCTCAGCATGATTATTATTATTATGGCATCAAGACTAATAAGACACTCTTAGTGATATTAACGTGTACCTGCATGCCAGCACAGTGTGTAAGTTTACTGAGGTACAGGTACACATAAGTATAATTATCAGAGTATGTATACAGTGGACCCCCGCATACCATACGCATCGCATATCGTACAATCCGCATACCGGACGCTTTGATTGCAAAAATTTTGCCTCGCATACCGCCCAAAAACCCGCTCACCGCCCTTCGTCCGTGACGCGTCCAATGTGCGGCCTGAGCCACGCTCACACGTTCCGCCGGTGGCATTGTTTACCAGCCAGCCTCCGCGGTAACATCCAAGCATACAATCGGAACATTTCGTATTATTACAGTGTTTTTGGTGATTTTTTCTGGAAAATAAGTGACCATGGGCCCCAAGAAAGCTACTAGTGCCAACCCTACACCAATAAGGGTGAGAATTACTATAGAGATGAAGAAAAAGATCATTGATAAGTATGAAAGTGGAGTGCGTGTCTCCGAGTTGGCCAGGTTGTATAATAAACCCCAATCAACCATCGCTACTATTGGTGGTACAGCTGCTGCTGTACCAGCGTCAGCTGCTGCTGCACTGTCAGCTGCTGCTGCTGTTGTACCACCGTCAGCTGCTGCTGCTGCTGTAGTACCGTCTGCTGCTGCTGTAGCATCGTCTGCTGCTGCTGTAGCATCGTCTGCTGCTGCTGTAGCATCGTCTGCTGCTGCTGTAGCATCGTCTGCTGCTGCTGTAGCATCGTCTGCTGCTGCTGTAGCATCGTCTTTTTGCTGCTATAGCATCGTCTGCTGCTGCTGTAGCATCGTCTGTTGCTGCTGTAGCATCGTCTGTTGCTGCTGTACCACCGTCAGCTGCTGCTGCTGCTGTAGCACCGTTGTTGGTGTGGCTTATTGAGAATCCCAAAGAAACAATTAACCCCAGAGGATTTGCCACCCAGGATAACCCAAAAAAAGTCAGTGTCATCGAAGACTGTCTAACTTATTTCCATTGGGGTCCTTAATCTTGTCTCCCAGGATGCAACCCACACCAGTCGACTAACACCCAGGTGAACAGGGAAAAACGCCTGGAACTAGTGCTCATATTGGTGAATTTAAAGCCAGCAAAGGTTGGTTTGAGAGATTTAAGAATCGCTGTTGCTGGATCAGTCAGCTGTTGCTAGATCAGTCAGCTGTTGCTGGATCAGTCAGCTGTTGCTGGACCAGTCAGCTGTTGCTGGATCAGTCAGCTGTTGCTGGACCAGTCAGCTGTTGCTGGATCAGTCAGCTGTTGCTGGACAGTCAGCTGTTGCTGGATCAGTCAGCTGTTGCTGGACCAGTCAGCTGCTGCTGCACCACGGTCAGCTGCTGTTGCACCATCAGCTGTTTCTGAACATGACTCGTCCTGAACCTGTCCCGAACCTGTCCGTCCAGCCTGAGCGCCTGCCTTGCCGTCATTGTTTACAAGCCAGGGTGGCCGGTTGCATGCATACATTCGATACATTTTGTATTATTCCATTATTTATAGTGCTTGTAACTGCTAAATAAGCCACCATGGGCCCAAAGAAAGCTTCTAGTGCCAACCCTGTGGTAAAAAGGGTGATAAATACTATCGTACCACAGTCAGCTGCTGCTGCACCACAGCTGCTGCTGCACCACAGCTGCAGCTGCACCCAGCTGCTGCTGCACCATGGTCAGCTGCACCACAGCTGTTGTTGTTACTGCACCACCATCAGCTGTATTACTCGAAGATGTGGAGAGAGTGTTGTTGGTGTGGCTTAACGTGAAACAATTACCGAGAAACAATTAACCCCGGAGGGTTAGCCACCCAGGATAACCCAAGAAAGTCAGTGCATCATCGAGGACTCTAACTTATTTCCATTGGGGTCCTTAATCTTGTCTCCCAGGATGCAACCCACACCAGTCGACTAACACCCAGGTGAACAGGGAAAAATGCCTGGAACTAGTGCTCATATTGGTGAATTTAAAGCCAGCAAAGGTTGGTTTGAGAGATTTAAGAATCGTAGTGGCATACACAGTGTGATAAGGCCTGTTCTGGAAGAAAATGCCAAACAGGGCCTACAGTACTCAGGAGGAAAAGGCACTCCCAGGACACAGTGGGCTCATCAGTCATTGCTGCATCTTCAATAAAGGTAAGTGTCATTTATTCTTCATTTAGTAGAGTAATACATGCACAATATATATTGTGCATGTACTACTCTACTATTGTGCATGTATCCTTCTCTTTGTGTGTAGGAAAATGTATATTTCATGTGGTAAAATTTTTTTTTTCATACTTTTGGGTGTCTTGCACGGATTAATTTGATTTCCATTATTTCTTATGGGGAAAATTCATTCGCATACCGAACATTTCGCATAACAACCAGCCCTCTTGCACGGATTAAGGTCGCTATGCGGGGTCCACTGTATATAAAAACCTAGGTAGTAGGTTGGTAGACAGCAACCACCCAGGGAGGTACTACCGTCCTGCCAAGTGAGTGTACAACGAAAACCTGTAATTGTTTTACATGATGGTAGGATTGCTTGTGTCTTTTGTCTGTCTCATAAACATGCAAGATTTCAGGTATGTCTTGCTACTTCTACTTGCACTTAGGTCACACTACACATACATGTACAAGCATATATATACACACCCCTCTGGGTATTCTTCTATTTTCTTTCCAGTTCTTGTTCTTGTTTATTTCCTCTTATCTCCATGGGGAAGTGGAACAGAATTCTTCCTCCGTAAGCCATGTGTGTTGTAAGAGGCGACTAAAATGCCGGGAGCAAGGGGCTAGTAACCCCTTCTCCCGTATAAATTACTAAATTTAAAAGAGAAACTTTTGTTTTTCTTTTTGCGCCACCCTGCCTTGGTGGGACATGGCCGGTGTGTTGAAAGAAAGATGTATATATAAAAACCTAGGTAGTAGGTTGGTAGACAGCAACTGCCCAGTGAGTGTAAAACGAAAGCCTGTAATTGTTTTACATGATGGTAGGATTGCTGGTGTCCTTTTTTCTGTCTCATAAACATGCAAGATTTCAGGTACGTCTTGCTACTTCTACTTACACTTAGGCTGCACTACACATACATGTACAAGCATATATATACACACCCCTCTGGGTTTTCTGCTATTTTCTTTCTAGTTCTTGTTCTTGTTTCTTTCCTCTTATCTCCATGGGGAAGTGGAACAGAATTCTCTCCTCTGTAAGCCATGCGTGTTGTAAGAGGCGACTAAAATGCCAGGAGGAAGGGGCTAGTAACCCCTTCTCCTGTATAAATTACTAAATTTGAAAAGAGAAACTTTTGTTTTTCTTTTTGGGCCACCCTGCCTTGGTGGGATACGGCCGGTTTGTTGAAAAAAAAAAATGTATATATAAAAACCTACGTAGTAGGTTGGTAAACAGCAACCGCCCAGGGAGGTACTACCGTCCTGCCAAGTGAGTGTACAACGAAAACCTGTAATTGTTTTACATGATGGTAGGATTGCTGGTGTCATTTGTCTGTCTCATAAACATGCAAGATTTCAGGTATGTCTTGCTACTTCTACTTACACTTAGGTCACACTACACATACATATACAAGCATACATATATACACCCCTCTGGGTTTTCTTCTATTTTCTTTCTAGTTCTTGTTCTTGTTTATTTCCTCTTATCTCCATGGGGAAGTGGAACAGAATTCTTCCTCTGTAAGCCATACGTGTTGTAAGAGGCGACTAAAATGCCGGGAGCAAGGGGCTAGAAACCCCTTCTCCCATATAAATTACTAAATTTAAAAAGAGACTTTTGTTTTTCTTTTTGGGCCACCCTGCCTCGGTGGGATACGGCCGATGCGTTGAAAGAAAGAAGAAGTACTGTATATATAAAATATGAAATAACTTTTTAACACTTGAAATTTTGGAAAGTTTCCAAACATAACTGAGAGTAGTGCTCACAGAGAATGTAAACAAACCGGGTGACCCGCGGTGACTGTATTAGAACGTAAGGTGGGGGGAGCAGTATAGAGAGTTATGGTCATAATTTAAAATGCCTGTATTAGCGGAATGCCGTAAAGCGGGGCCCTACTGTATTTTGTTTTCATTTAAAAGGTCATACTATGTACCTTTTTTCTTCAGTTTAATAACAAATCATGCATCACATTACCTGATCAACAATCGGCAGGACTTTATCGACACTAAGACCGTGTATCTGCAGCAGGTGTTTAGCAAACATCTCTCTAACTGTTAGTTGATGGTTTTTTACAGATGCTGCATTAAACTGCATAAAAGTCATTAATGATGTCTCAGTAGTGCCATGGTTCAGCATCTCTTCTCTCTGACTCTCAACATCCTTGTGAAGAATGCTACTCACTGCTTTACCCTGATAAAGAGAAAACTGATTAATGCACCATATTATAAGCACAAATGTACTGTATGTACTGCTACTGTAGTAAGCTGTACAGTATAGTTGTTATTATTGCATCAGACATCTTCCGTGAAGGAAGACTGACCCAAAGAAAAGGAAAAATACATTTACCATCACCCATCTTGTCAGAAGTACACAAACATCACAGTTCAAATGACCCTCAGAACTGCAACAACCCACCCATCTCTTAAGAGCACAGGCACTCTTTCTTCCACCTCCAGAATACAAGTCTGGTAAACTGGTTCAAATGAGTTTCTTAGTAAATGTTACTTTGATCACATTTAAACAGCAAGTCAAATTTGAGAAAATGCTTTTCCCTACTCACTCAGATTTAACAGGCCAACATTTACCTGCTGACTGCTAAAGCCCATACCACTCAAAACTTCCTACACCTCCTTAACATTGACCCTTCTTAGAACAACCCATACTCTTCTTCCACCCACCCATCATTTGTACACCCTCTTAGTTGATTGATCCTCCTCCATCCTTTCTAAATGACTAAACCACCTCAACAATTCTTTATTCTTTGAATTATGTTTTTCATGCCACCAAACCATCTTCTAATTTCTTTACTCCTATTTTTTAACAAGTCGGCCATTTCCCACTGAGGCAGGGTGACCCAAAAAGAAAGAAAACCCCAAAAAGAAAGAAAAAAAAACTTTCATCATCATTCACCATTTTCACCATCACTTATGCACTGTCTTTGCAGAGGCGCTTGGATACAACAGCTTAGACGTCTCTCCAAACTGCCAATATCCCAAACCCCTCCTTCAGAATGCAGGCACTGAACTTCCCATTTCCAGGACTCTTAAGTCCAGCTAACTGGTTTCCCTGACTCACTTCACAAAATATTACCCTGCTCACACTCCAACAGCTCATCAGGTCCCAAAAATCATCTGTCTTCATTCACTCCTATCTAACACGCTCACATATGCTTGCCGAAAGTCCAAGCCCCTCTCCCACAAAACCTCCTTTACCCTCTCCCTCCAACCACCTCAGGGATGACCCCTACTCTGCCTTCTTGCCCCTTACAGATTTATACGCTCTCCACGTCATCCTACTTTGTTCCATTCTTTCTAAATGACCAAACCACTTCAACAGCCCCTCTTCAGCCCTCTGACTAATACTTTTAGTAACTTCACACTTCCTCCTAATCTCCACATTACGAATTCTCTGCATAATACTTACACCACACATTGGCCTTGGACACAACATCTCCACTGCCTCCAGTCATCTCCTCACTGCAGCATTTACAATCCATGCTTCACACCAATGTAAGTGAGTTGGTACCACTTTACACTCATACATTCCCTTTTTCGCCTCCACTGATGAAGTTCTCTGTTTCCACAGATACCTCAATGCACCACTCACCTTTTTTCCTTCATCAATTCTATAGTTAACTTCATCCTTCATAAACTCATCCGCTGACAAGTCAACTCCCAAATATCTGAAAACATTCACTTCTTCCATACTCCCTGGAGTTTAGAGACTCTCTGACTGCTGGTTCTAATCCCACCCGTGGTATGGTTTGTTTGCAATCGTGTCATTACGATTTTGTGAGTCATCCAATTTTTCTTTATCTAAACCATCTGATACCTTCATCACCTTACTCTTATCTATATTCATTTTCAACTTTCTACCTTTACACACCCTCCCAAACTTGTCCACTAACCTATGCAACTTTTCTTTACAATCCCCCAAGAGCACAATATTATCAGCAAAAAGTAACTGTCAACTCCTATTTTGTATTTGATTCCCCATAATTTAATCCCACCCCTCTCCCCAGCACCCTAGCATTTACTTATTTTACAACCCCATCTATGAATATGTTTAACAACCATGGTGACATCACACATCCCCATTTAAGACCTGTTTTTACCAGGAAGTAGTTTCCCTCTTTTCTACACACTATAACCTGAGCCTCTCTTCATAAAAACTCTTAACAGCATTTGGTAACTTAATACCTATTCACACTAGCAACATCTGCCACATTGCTCCCCTATCCACTCTATCATACGACTTATCTAAATCCATAAATGCAATGAAAACTTCCCTACCTTTATCTAAATATGGTTCACATACAGTAGGGCCCCACTTATACGGCAGGTTAGGTTCCAGGCTACCGCCATAAAGTGGAAATCGCCATAAAGTGGAACACCCTTTTCTTCCACTTATAAATGCATACAAATACTAGATAACAAGTTTACACTAACATATATTAAGTTAGCAATAGAACTAGGCATCAAAAAACACAAAAAAGTACAATACACACATAGTGCACTCATTACTTACCTTAAAATATTTATAGTCTTAATCTAGGGTGAGACAAGTAGTACTTATTGTAAGAAATCAAGTGTGGTATGTATGGTAGTCAGCCGGGCTACCATACCAGGCCACCCCACCTACACATAATATTCTATTACATTTAAGCATCCCAGAGCGATAAAATGCATATATAGTTTACTCATTATTTACCTTAAAATATTTGTAGTCTTAATCTAGGGTGAGATGAGTAGTGTATATTGTAAAAAATCAAGTGTGGTATGTATGGTAGTCAGCCGGGCTACCATACCAGGCCATTCCACCCACACATATATTCTATGATATTTAAGCATCCCAGAGCAATAAAATGTATATACAGTTCACTCATTACTTACCTTAAAATATTTGTAGTCTTAATGTAGGGTCAGGAGTAAGTAAATGAGATAAAACGAATAAATGAGAGAGAAAGAATGAGCGCATGAGAGAGGACAGGCGCCGAGTTATGTAAACAAACCAGGCGAAGGTAAGTTTTGTAAACAAAGTGTACACGTCTGGTTTGTGTACAAGTTACATTGTGTACAGGTTGTCTCTACATTGATATGGTAGAATAAATGAAGAACACCACTCCCATTCTCATGTAACATCATTTTGAGAAGAAATGACGCTCTGAGTGAAGGCAATGGAAATAAGTCACTCTGACTTTTTTGGGTTATCCTAGGTTCTCTAAACATATGCTATTATGTATGATAATCTATGTAACTGTATTTGTGTATACCTGAATAAACTTACTTACATACATACAAAAGGAATAATTTTCTACAGTTACCCCCAGTAACACATTTTCTCTTATGTTAGATTAGAGAAAATGTTATTCTTGGCATCACTTGTACAAATTAGACACATGTGCAACTCTTGGGTATCTTTACTGAGGAAACGTTTCGCCACACAGTGGCTTCATCAGTCCATACAAAGGAGAATCTTGAAGAACAGGAGGAGAATGAGGTAATCAGTCCCTCAACCTTGAGTCGATGTGGTCAGTCCATTAATCTTGAATAGAATACGGCATACGTGCTGAGAAAGAGCTTATAAACCATTGGCAGGAGAGGTGCAGAAGTCATAGGTCGTGTAACATTTGTTCAATGTTGAAGTAGGTCGTGCCCAAGAATTAGGCAAGTGAAGATGGACTGACCACATCGACTCAAGGTTGAGGGACTGATTACCTCATTCTCCTCCTGTTCTTCAAGATTCTCCTTTGTATGGACTGATGAAGCCACTGTGTGGCGAAACGTTTCCTCAATAAAGATACCCAAGAGTTGCACATGTGTCTAATTTATCAACATGTCGGTTCTCTGAACCATTCATCTACAAACCTGTCAGACACTGCAACTTCTTGGGATCTTAATACTTGGGAATTCTTCGCTTGCCTAATTCTTGGGCACGACCTACTTCAACATTGAACAAATGTTACACGACCTATGACTTCTGCACCTCTCCTGCCAACGATTTATAAGCTCCTTCTCAGCACGTATGCCGTATTCTATTCAAGATTGATGGACTGACCACATCGACTCAAGGTTGAGGGACTGATTACCTCATTCCCCTCCTGTTCTTCAAGATTCTCCTTTGTATGGACTGATGAAGCCACTGTGTGGCGAAACGTTTCCTCAATAAAGATAGCCAAGAGTTGCACATGTGTCTAATTTATCAACATGTCGGTTCTCTGAACCATTCATCTACAAACCTGTCAGACACTGCAACTTCTTGGGATCTTAATACTTGGGAATTCTTCGCTTGCCTAATTCTTGGGCACGACCTACTTCAACATTGAACAAATGTTACACGACCTATGACTTCTGCACCTCTCCTGCCAACGGTTTATAAGCTCCTTCTCAGCACGTATGCCGTATTCTATTCAAGATTGATGGACTGACCACATCGACTCAAGGTTGAGGGACTGATTACCTCATTCTCCTCCTGTTCTTCAAGATTCTCCTTTGTATGGACTGATGAAGCCACTGTGTGGTGAAACGTTTCCTCAATAAAGATACCCAAGAGTTGCACATGTGTCTAATTTATCAACATGTCGGTTCTCTGAACCATTCATCTACAAATCACTTGTACAAGTTATCTGGCTACCACATCTCATATTTATGTTTATTTATTCTACTGTGGGGTGTATTTATCATATTTATATGTTATGCATCGTGTTTATTATATAATTTTGAAAAAAATATCATAGATGGATTAATGAAAATGTGTATATTAACGTAATATACGACATTTAAATGAGACTCCGTGATTATTATTATCATTACTAATATGACGTCTGGAGACATAAAACACTCTTACTGATTTTAATGTGTACCTGCATGCCAGCACAGTATGTAAGTTTATTTAAGTACAGGTATACATAAGTATAATTATCAGAGTATATATATAATATGAAATAACTTTTAAAAACACTTAAAATTTTGGAGTTTCCAGACATAATGGAGAGACTTAGTGCTTACGGATCTCACAGACAATGTAAACAAACCGGGTGGGGCGCGGTGACCGTATTAGAAAGTCAGGTGGGGGGAGCCGTATAGCGAGTTTTGGTCATAATTTAAAATGACCGTATTAGCGGAACGCCGTAAAGCGAAATGCCGTAAAGCAGGGCCCTACTGTATATGCTTCAATGTAAACACTTGATC